GTTTTCACTTTCATGATTTGGAAAGTCTCAACCATCTGAAAACAAAGCCCTAGTTTGTAAAACTGGCTTGTCCAACAATTGCCTAAACTCACCCAAATCATTCATATTTTTGTTTACCAACTCAAATAATTAACCACAACCCTATTCAAAAGGGAGACAGTTAATCGTGCTATAACCTACGTTTCAGACAATTAAATGCCTGTAGACTCTAGTGTACGGAGCTTTTCCGGCGCGGTCGCCAACCACGAGTCACAGACTCGGTAAACACATAGCCGGAGCTAGACTGTTGATTTTGCCTACCGGTGCAATGGCCACTACAACTGTTCCAACCATCTCAATTCCGAGGAGGGTTTGGATGGGAGGCTGTAAAAAGGGATAAACTCAGACAGTTGACGAGTCTGCCGGAGAAGTCAAAAATATGTACGGAGTGCCCATGGACTGCAAGATGTTCAAGTATTTCTTATATTTAAGCTTCACGGCAGACATACCAACACTCCTTTCGCCGCCTTCATTATTGGAATTACAGCTTGGACGACCCGAATCCCGCTCCAAGGGAAGCGAATGCCTAAACAGCAACAACGATTTCTTCTCTATAGCCGGAGCCGTCTCGAAGCTCCAGCCTCTCGCCTCCGCAACATCAAGAACACGATTGTCAATCGGAATTTCTCTAACACCACGATCCGCGGAGAGCTAGCTGTCCATGGGATTTCGGAGTTTTACCCCAATGATTAGTGCTTTGACTCACTCCTACCATCACTCTAGAAAATGGCCAAGTGTAACCACTTCCTAAAGCGTAGTATAGCGGGTTTGGGTTTTAATGTCAACCCGGGTCCTATATGTGATGACTACTCAGTGAATTCTTATTATCTAGCAGTGAAACTTTAGTGCAGGTTCAAATAATCAAACAAGCAAAGCGGTTAAACAGTTGTTTTCAAGTCGAGAGAGGTCACCCGGATATGGTTCCCCCTAGACTGTAGTTAAGCCGGATTGCAATTTACCAAGTTCAATTTCTATGATAGTTATACTGCGGGAGTTTCTTAAGCAGTCTGAAGTCTCGACTAAAGGTCTCCAGACCCTCTCAATTTGAGTCCCCAGCGGGCGACTAACCTCCACCGGAGTAAACAGACTGAGGCCCTAACGAACCAAACCTCCACTACCGGAGTAAATCTGGTACAGAATAGTAAATTGACTCCTCGACTAAAGTCTTCAATCCACTACCTTCAATCAAGGGTGCTTTATCAACCTAGGCAGATATTCTCTTTCTAGGTTAAAGTAGAAACAACAGGAATTTGATCAGGATTCATGTCATTCAACAATTCAAACCTCAATTGAATATAATCAAATCATAGAATCTGTACTTGGGTTCATACAATCAGACCTAACATGCAAATCTAGGGTTCTCCATACCCAGATGAATGAGGAAGTTACTCCATGGAGAGAGAAGCAAAAGCAAGCTCAGATGCAGAAATCATGCTGTGAAGGATGAGAATCTGCTCCTGGTCGTCAATCGGCACTTCTCCAAGTGTGAGTCAAGCTCCAATGGTGATGAAGATCAAGCTAGGGCACTTGGGAACTCTGGTTCGTCGCTTTCTCTCTCTAGTAATCGCTTTCTTTCTCTCCAACTCGGTATCCCTTCTCCTTTGCTGAAAATTGGGTTAAAACCCAGAAAATCCCAACTCACACGGCCAGGCCACACGGCCGTGTGACATCCCCAGCTGCCCGTGTGAGTTCCCTGGAATTTCCACACGGCCTCAGGGGGTCCCCTACACGGCCCGTGTGACTTTGCCCGTGCAATTTGGTGCCACACGGCCAGACCACACGGCCGTGTAGGTTTTAAGCGTGCCCGTGTGGCTCCATCAGCTTCCCGCGAAATGTCCTATCCTCGTCCAATCGACCCCGAACTCGTTCCCAAGCCTTCATTCACGTACTAGGACCAGAAATATCACAAACAAGAACAACCTAGCGTGAAATCGGCCTAAAACGCGAGAATCGACATCTCCAACGGCTCAAGAATAGGGGTAAAAACATGTGTAATCAATGGTCTATCATGCTTAAATCCAAAGACACCTCAGATTGCCACCTTAAGCTTTGAGAAATCCTTCTTCCCGGAGCATTTATCACCACCATCAGTGACCAACCGGATAATTGCTGACCAGAGGGCTAAAAGCAGTGTTGTTAAAGTCGACCTGAGCCGGTCGGTCAGACCAGTAAAACCGACACCCGGACACCAGCCCGGGTCGGAAGCCTCCAATAGTCGTAACTACCAGAAGTGTCGGTTTTTGAGCGACTGAAATGGTTAACCATTCGAGTCGGTCGGACCGTCCGACCAGTTATTGGTTGTTGACCGCCTTAAATTAAAAAATAATTGAGAAAAAGATTCTAGGGTGCAATCGCGTCCAGTGGGATTTCTCGACGAGGCACCCACTATCCGTGAACCCATCGTCCTCTGTGACTTCATCAACGCCATTGAACTCCTTCTCTTCTTGTTACACCCCGATATATATTCGGGTTTAGGTTCGACCATAATAAATGCTTGGGTTGGAACAATGCCATTATACAAAAATCCAAGTTGAACTAGTGTATGGATTGAAATCTAGTTAGTTGACCCAATTTTCTAATCATAACTATAAAATGTGGTCGGAGTTTATCGCTAGCAATTATAGAAATTTTCTACCAATTTATATGATAGGGTAGCCATCATCCGTTACTAGGCCACTAAATTATGATTAAAGGTCCATTGTAAATAACCATCAATTCCTTTGAGGGTTAATTGCAAGGATGGTCACTAGGTTTACTAAAACCGTTCATGTTTGGTCACTGTAAATATTTAATTCCATTCATGGTCACTAAGATTAGTTCAATAGTTCAAATTTGGTCACTCTCCGTTAGTCTCCGTTAGTTTTTGCTGATGTGGCAGTCAACTATTATAGTTGACCGTTAAATGAGTGACGTGGCCATTAAAATAATAATAAAATAATAAATTTTAAATATTTACAATTTCCACCTCATTTTACAACTATTAAAAAATAAAAATAAAGCTTACCTCAGCGTGACCATGACGCGATTGTCTCCGTCGCTCCTTCCTCAACGCCGGCCTCGCTTTGCTTCAGGGTAATTTGTGTAGAAGAATACACTAGGAAAAGCCATGGATTTGTAGTTGTGGTAGCTGAACAAACTCACAGGCGGACACTCCAAAGCTAAAACACTGTGAGAGAGATAAAAATCATAAATCCCCCCGCCTTTCTTTGTCACTTGTACTGTAAATCTCCATTGGAATTCCCCTTCCCATAGTTTCCTTCCCACTTCGGGTTCTCACAAAGGGGGCAAATCAGTACGAAATTCCAGATTCTGGGTTGTTTTTCGTTTTCAATTTCTGGAACAAACCCAATTCGTGATTGCGATTGAAAGAAGAAGGGGGAAGGAAGGGAGGGAAAGAAATGGTGGGAAGCATTGAAACGATGGGGAGCCCCGATAATAACAATCATCATCACCAGCAGCAGCAAAATGGGTACTCAACAGCTCACCACTCAACTAACGAAACCAATTCCGGGCAGGAAGAGAAGCTCGACGAGCTGCGGCGTCTACTGGGCAAAGCCGACGGCGACCCGCTCCGAATCGTCGGTGTCGGAGCCGGCGCCTGGGGAAGCGTATTCACCGCTCTTCTACAAGACAGCTACGGCCAGTTTCGGGACAAGATCCAGATCCGGATATGGCGTCGCGCGGGTCGGGAGGTGGACCGATCCACCGCCGAGCACCTGTTCGAGGTGATCAATCCCCGTGAAGATGTGCTCCGGCGGCTGAGCCGGTGATGCGCCTACCTCAAGTACGTCGAGGCCCGCCTCGGCGACCGGACCCTGTACGCCGACGAGATCTTGAAAGATGGGTTTTGCCTGAACATGATCGACACGCCTCTGTGCCCGATGAAAGTGGTGACGAACTTGCAGGAGGCGGTTTGGGATGCCGATATCGTGGTGAACGGCGTGCCGTCGACGGACACCAGGGACGTTTCCGAAGAGATTAGTGTTTATTGGAAGGAGAGGATTAGTATGCCGATTATCATCTCGTTGGCGAAAGGGATTGAGGCGGCGCTTTCCCCTGTTCCTCATATTATTACTCCTACCCAGATGATCAAACTCGCAAGTGAGTGTGACTGATTTGATTTGATTTGGTTTGGTTTGCTTCCCCACTTTATAATTTTGGGTTACGTTTCTTGATGATGATTGTATTTATATATGGTTTAGTACTTGATTAGTATAGGAGAATGTTGGGAATAATGGAGAAACCGGTCAATTAGTCAAGTAATCAAGTCGACTGCAAATGGATCAACCCTTGGGTTCGACCTGATTACTCTACTGGTTGTGTCGGTCAGAATCTTGAGTTTTATTTTTATTTTTTAATAGTTGTAAAATGAGGTGGAAATTGTAAATGTTTAAATTTTATTATTTTATTATTATTTTAATGGCCACGTCACTCATTTAACGGTCAACTATAATAGTTGACTGCCACATCAGCAAAAACTAACGGAGACTAACGGAGAGTGACCAAACTTGAACTATTGAACTAATCTTAGTGACCATGAATGGAATTAAATATTTGCAGTGACCAAACATGAACCGTTTTAGTAAACCCAGTGACCATCTTTGCAATTAACCCATTCCTTTGATGTAAACGACCCCAATATAAATGGCCATCATCAGTTTTCGTCCATTATTGGGAAGAGGTATTCATCATTGAGGAGCAATTATACACAAACCCTAGGCAAAAGATAGGTAGGAGTCGCCTAAACTACCTCTCCATCCCTCCTGATTTCCCTCTACCCAAGTAGAAGACCGACACGACCCTCTATGCTTCGCTTTTCATCAAATACATTCCAGCCGAAAGAGCCAATAATCGACGATTGGAGAGGCTACATCAACCCTACAACATGCGGTGCAGTCGATTGAATGTTGAAAGTGAAGACAACGAAAAGCGATAGATCGCAATGACAACAGGCTACTGTAGAAGCTGGGCTGCGCTCGGAATGAGATGCCAATAAGGATGATCTTTGCATCGCTGTGGAACCAAGCGCAAGGAAGGAGAAATCTTTGTGACAGAGCTGGAAGGAGAATCTACCTGGTATTAATACGAACACCATAGGTAAGCAAGCTATTACTGTCGAAGCTTACCATTTTAATAATAAATAGCTTATATGCGAGAGCCCAGAGGTAGAGTAAGCTAGAGTGGAGATCGGAGTATTTTCTTATAATAATAACCACAAAGCCTTTAGATTTGAAAAAAGGTTAGTACTGGGGAGATATAAGTGGAACATGCATGTATTGGTTCCGGGAAAGATATAGATGGATGGGGGCGAAACTCTAGGTTTAGTGTTATGAAGGGCAATTTGGGAGGCAACTTCGTTGGTCTTTAGTCATATATTTTGAGAAGGGAACGTGCAGTCGAGAGATGGAGATGTAGTATTATATGGGGACGTAAATAGGATATTAGGTGTCTTGACATCAGATTAATTTGTACGGCATAGGAACCATCCTCAAGATACATGACATAACCAGGCAAAGGAGATCGAGTTGTGGGACACCGCGAGAAGGAGATCAAGGTCCAATGTCTTACATCAAGTAGTTGATAGATGTTGGTTAATAAGGTGAGTGTAAAGGGGGTAAATTCTACGCCTTACGATTTTTCAAGTATTTGCCTTGAGTATTTTTCAAGTATTGATTTACGTGATGTATGTGCAGTATTTGATTCATGTTTGAGATTGCATGATTATATTTGATGGTATGTGCTTTGCTTGAACTATAACTTGAAGTGAAGGTGTATGAGTTTATCTCTTACTTTGAAATTTTAAGTTTATGAGTTATTGTTAAAATTTAAGAACAAGTTCATTTTAAGAAGTACTTCACCTTCAAGAAGGTGAAATTGTTTAAGAGTTTTTAGTCACTAGCGCCAGTCCGTTGCCATTTGAGATTTTGAGATAGAGCAGCAGTTATGCTCTTGAGACTTTTAAGATGAGCAACAGTTATGCTCTTGAGATATTTTAAGATGAGCAACAGTTATGCTCTTGAGAATCGTGGAAGAAGAGCCTTCCACGATAAGTTTAAGTTTAAGGAAAGCCTCGATGGGCTCTCATACGTATGAGTTGGCAACCAGACTAGCTAGTGAGGGATCCCCGTGTCAGTCAAGTATTTAAGCCAAGATTTGAGCTTTAAGAATGGAGAGCAACAGTAACTCCCATACAGTTTTAAGAGTTAAGCTTTTTAATAGTGGAAGTACAAAACAACTTCCACTTCAGTTAAGTAAAGTGATCAAGTATTAATAAGATGTTAAACGTAAGGGCGTAGGCTGACCCCATCTCACTCACCAGTTTGAATAGCTAGAGGAGGAGCTAGAGGAGCAGTTAGTGAGCAGCGAGTTCGAGGGCAGCCAGCTAGAGGAGGGCAGTATAAGCGTCATAGAGGATGCTTAGTCAGGGTTTCAGTAGCAACAACATTAGAGATTATTAGTTATTTACATTTATGATTATGAGTACAGACTGGAGATCATTTTGAGATTTTAAGTATTGTGATTGCCCATGTGTTAGGGCGTTGCCTTGAACTACAAGCAGTGTTATCAAAACCGGACCGGCCCGGCCGGTCCGACCGGAAAAAACCGGACCCGGCCATAGTCCCGGTCCCGATAGTGCAAAAACGATACAGGAAATGGCCGGCCGGGTGGTAACCGGTTCGCCCGGTTAACCGGGAAAACCGGCTGACCCGAACCGCCGGTTTTGGCTGATTTTCATTTTATTTTTCAAATTTAAAATATGTCTTTCTAGCCTGAAAAGGGGGGAAAATATTAATTTTAAAAAAAAAACCAAAAGGGGAAGGGAAACGTCAATTCCCTAACCTAGAGACTAGGGTCTTGTTCTCCCATCTTTCTTTTATTTCTTTCCGCCGACCCACCCACCATCTTGATTTCTTCTCCCAACAATCAAAAGTTCAAAGCAAGACTACAAATAAATAAACAACCCCACCAATCAACTCCTGTACTCTACAAGCAATTGCTAGCCGCCATCACTATCAGCTCCAGCAACCAAGCGGCACCAGTGGTAAGCAGTTTTAGTTTTCTTGTTTGTTTATTTTGGTGAATGTTTCTGTTATGTTAAAAAATATAGAAGAAGTCAAATAGTAGTAGTGTATATAACCATATATAAGCCGAGAACCTACCACTACCAGGGGGGAAGTTACGATCCTTTTTTGGAAAAACTATGAACTAGTCTGTCTTCAACTTCATATTTCAAGCTGTTAATTTTATATATTTATTATGTTCAATTTTTTTCCACATACAGATGGAGGAGAATCCTCAATCCGGCGCTCAAACAACAGAAAAGAGTGCCACGGTCCCTAGTTCTACAGCTCCAACAATGAACAAAAGGGGGAATCATGATCCTGCTTGGAAATATATTGCCAAGATTAAGAATGATAAAGGTACTACTGGTTATCGCTGCTTGTTTTGCGCAAACGAATTTTTTGGTGGTGGAATATATAGAATGAAGCAGCATCTTGCTCAAAAAAAAGGTGATATATCGAAGTGTCCTAAAGTTCCTTTTGATGTTCGGGAGGAAATTAAAAATATTTTGAAAGAACTGGATGACAAGAAAGAAGCGAAAAAGAAGGGTAACGAATATGGTGTTGGAGAAGATAACAGAGCCGAGGATGTTCAGGTTGCTGCACCGGTAACTATTGATATTGATGATTTGGTGAGGAAGGGGAAAGGAATTTCTAGTTCTTCAAATCCTGGTGATAATTTTTTTGCTCCAAGAACCACCCCTGGAGCTCAACCTGGTATCAAAAGTGTCCTAGCTACAAAAGAAGCAACTCATCGAGCTCATATGGTCATTGCAAAATGGTTTTATGAGAATGCAATTGCTTTCAATGCTGCTAACTCTGCAAATTTCCAGACAATGTTTACTGCAGCAATTGCTATTGGTCCAGGTTTTAAAGTTCCCTCTTATCATGATATTCGAGTAACTTTGTTAGCTGATTGCAAAAGAGAATGTGAGTTGCTTGTTGAAGGTTATCGAGATAGTTGGGCTGAACGTGGATGCACATTGATGGCAGATGGTTGGACTGATAGGAAGAGTAGGACTTTGATCAATTTTTTGGTTTATTGTCCTAAAGGAATTTGCTTCTTGAAGTCTGTTGATGCATCAAAAACTGTCAAAAGTGCAAAAAATCTTTTCAAGCTCTTTGATGAGGTACTTCAATGGATTGGGGTTGGCAATGTAGTTCAGGTGGTTACAGACAATGCATCTAACTACAAGAAGTGTGGTGATCTTATTCATAAGAAATATCCTCATGTATATTGGACACCTTGTGCAGCTCATTGTTTGAACTTGGTCTTGAAAGATTTTGCATCATTGGATCATATTGCTAAGCTTTTTCGAAGAGCTTCTAACATGACCAAGTTTGTTTATAACCATCAGCCGATTATGAATTGGCTCAAGGAAAGACCAAACTGGGTGGAAGTTGTTCGTCCTGCTGCAACTCGATTTGCAACTCATTTCATAACATTAAAGAGTGTCTATGAGCACAAGAAAGACTTCCAAGCTTTAGCTGTGAGTGAGTTCTTTCATGATAATGCAGATGCTGCAACTCAGAAGGGAAAGGAGGTTAGTGCAACTATTCTAGATACTCAATTTTGGGGAGATTGTTTGGAGGTGGTGAAAGTGGCTACCCCGATCATAAAGTTGTTGAGACTTGTTGACTCAGATGAGAAGCCCGCTCTGGGGTATGTGTATGAAGGAATTAGGAGGTGCATTAAGGGGATAAAGGAAATCTACAATAATAAGGAAGTGTTGTACAAACCTTACGTTGATATTATCAACAAAAGGTGGGATAAACACTTTCGAGGAGATCTTCACAAGGCTGCTTACTTCTTCAATCCAGCTCTTAGGTATGATAAGAAAACATATGCAGGAGATGTTGAGGTAAAGGGTGGTGTTCTTAATTTGTTAGAAAAGAAGGAGATATGCAGTGATGATTTACAAGCATGCATGGAGCTTAAACTATATGAGGATGCAAAAGATAGCTTTGGTCGAGATTTGGCTATTAGAGGTAGAGAAAGGCTTGAACCAGGTAACTCTTTTAACTTTTATATATGCTTGAATTTTGGTATATCAATAATATAGTGTAGTTTTTCATTTGATTAAATTTGGTTTGGTCTTATATAATATTTTATTAATGTAGCACATGCACGTAGCTTGAATAACTTAATTTTTCTTTTGTTTATGGATTGTGCATTCCCACCAAACTTGTTTGTAGATGTATGGTGGAATACATTTGGAGATAGTGCACCATTGTTGAAAAAGATAGCACTTCGACTCCTTAGTCAAACAGCTTCTTCTTCTGGATGTGAAAGAAATTGGAGTGTATTTGAGCGCATCCATACTAAGAAGAGGAACAAACTTGAGCATAGTAGATTGTGTGATCTTGTCTATGTGAATTACAATTTGAAACTGAAGGACAGGTATGTGATTACTAATTATAATTTAGTTCTATATTATAAATGTGCAGATGTTTAATTATATGTATGTGAATTAACATGATTTATTTCTATCCTTATAAGGGGATATTACAAAGACAAGAGGATGAAGGGTGATCCCTTTGATTATGCTTGGATTAGTAGCACAGACTTTTGGGTTTTGGATACTATTGAAGAGAATCCAACTCCAGAGCTTAACTATGATGAGCTAGAGCAAGCTCTTAAAGAGCTTAATGAGGAGTATGATTTTGATGATAATCACTTGACTGAAGAGAGTGGAGCGACGAGTAGAAAACGTAGGCGTATTGAAGGTTGGCAATCTTCCCATGAAACTATTCTTATTTATAAGATGGATGTACTTTGCAATTCTTACATTAATATATTTCTTTTGCTTAATAGATGATGATGAAGTGGAAAATGAAGACTTGTCAGCCACTGATAATGAGGCAGATGATGAGAATGACGATGATGATGATGGTACCGGTGGTCGTGGTGGTGGTGATGATGATGATGATGGTAACTTTGAGGGTTTGGGATTTGACAAGTCACTCTTTTGAATTCTTTTTGTTTACTTTAATCTTTCAGTAATAAACTTAGTCTTTTTAGTTTGCTTCCAAGTTTTCAGGATTGGTATTTTTGGGCTATACCTTTTCGTTTAGTAGTTGAACGTTGAGGATTTTGTTATGGTTTGTCAAGTACTTATAAAGTTGGTTTATGTCTTCAGATACTCTCATTTATTTATAAATTAAAAGTACTATGATTAAATTTTTAATATTGAATTATTTTATTGAATATGTATATCAAGTATAGAATTCTCAATTTCAAAACTAGTACTAATTTTCATGTATACAAAAATTCATAATTATTTAATTTGAAAATTTTATACATCACCGGTTTTATAAACGGTTTTATACCGGTTAATTGCCGGTTGTCCGATAAACCTTAAACCTCTCGTTGATCCGGGTTGCTGCCCGGTCCGGTTCTGACAACATTGACTACAAGAGTGTGTTTTCAGTATTTTATTTTTTTGAAATTTTCCCACTACTTTAAGCGTTTATGGTTGTTGAGTATTTTCAATTTAACAAGGGTATTTTGGTAAAAGTAGTACCCGGCCGGGTTAGGGTGTTACACTTCTCATCCATCTTCTTCTCTGATCGAAGCGTGGGATCCTTCACAACGGCAACGATCTCTGTCCTCCAACCCCGCCCCTTGGGAAGAGACGGAATAGAGATGGGTCCTGATCGATCATCCTTTTTTGTTTGGGATGAGATGCAGAGAGAGTTTGGGAATAGACAAAATAGAGAGATGAAAAGTTTGAAGAGAGAGAGGGGGCCAGTTAGGGGTGAGCAGTGCTAAAAGAGGGTGGGTAGGCAAGTGGGGATTGGAATTAGCAATTAGGGTTTGTTAGTGGGTTTATATCAATGTTGTGAAAACCAAACCGGAGTACGAACCGGTATAGCAAGCATTCGCACTTTAATGGTTTAATAGATATTAGGCCGCTGAAAACCCGTTAATGAACCGATGTCTCACAAACAAAATATTATAAGTACTACACATAGTAACACACTAAATCATAAATAGAAAATAGAAAATATCATTGATTACTCTTAAACAAATTTAAAAAATAAAATGTGAGTATATCGATTTTTTATGAAAACTAAATCATTATGATTGGCTACTGTCAATTTGTTATCCTGTTTGATAAAAAAACTTCTCTTTTATTTTGATTGGTACGTAGAGACTAGAGAGCATAGAGAATGAGAATATAAAGCCGCAATTATTATTTACTGAACAATCGAAAATAATTATTTAAGTTTTTAGTCATTAATTACTTATATTCCCCATTTTTATTATTAAAAAATAAAAAGTAAGTTACATTTCCCCAGTACCCCACATACATAGGAAATGAATAAAATTTCCTCCAAAACTACTAAATGCATATCCCGAAGAGTATAAGAGAAGGATTTTAAATCTGGACAGGTGAAAAGTCGCGAACCGACTGATCGGCTCAGACGGGTCTAGCGGTTAACCGCTGGAACCGCTGACCGACCGGTCATTTCGACCGCAGCGGTTATTAGGATGTTTCGAGCCGGTTTCAACGCCGGGTCTCGATTTCACCGGTCCGGCCGACTGGCTCAGTCCGGCTTTAATAACATTGGTTTATATATATGTGGTAAAATTACTAGATGATACCTATAAAATATATTGTATTTTAGTCATTAAATTATTAAATTACTATCTTATGTGTCTACTATTTGTGATATTATTGTTTATTATAGGTGCCGGTTCTCTAACGATTTTTTAACGGTCCAATACCGATTAAACCACTAAAATACGAGCCGTTTACATTACCGGGTCATACTCCGGTTAAAAGCCTAAAACTCATATCGGGACTCCGTCATCAATTTTCTCAAATCAACGAGCGAATTCAAGGAACCCTGGTTAAAAGCCTAAAACTCATATCGGGACTCCGTCATCAATTTTCTCAAATCAACGAGCGAATTCAAGGAACCCTGTTCATGATTCGGAGACGACGTCGGCTTCAAAGGGCCATCATCCTCGTTCCACAAATCCTCCGCTCCTTCCTTCGTGAAATGATCGGCGAGCTTCTCCCACCACCTCTTTCTTATTCAGTAAAAAATTGAGGAATAATGTAAAACCACTGGTGGGTTTGATGGTGAGTCCAAGATTAGGGTTTATGCCATTAAGATTCCATGGTTTTGGAGTGTAGAATTTAATGTTATTGTTTGATAGATGTTCAATGTAATATATAATTGATAGCATTACGTAAAAATGGCTAATATTTTGATTCATTACAAAAGATTTGGGTAATTAATAGTATTTTAATAGGTTTAGATAATATAGTATAATCTGAAAGACTGAAAAATGTTTGGATAAAAAATAGTCATTTTTTTCTTTCTTTGACTCACAAAAAACATAAGAGGATATAAGAGATTTTTGACCAGTCAAAACCAACTCCTTTCTAATCGCCTTTTTTTAAACGGGTCATATCTTATTCATTTTAACTTCTACTCAATTTCCTCTTATCATTCTCTTGCTTGTTGCTCCTTTTTTATCACTTTCTCTCAAGTAAAACAAATGTTTGCAACATGTTAGACAAAGATACAATTGTAACATCCCGAACCTTTTCCCGGCGAAAATATTGTCCGTTCTGGGCCCATATCCTCACGGTTTTTGCCTTGGGGTGCAATTCAAGGTGACTTCCCATAAGGTCACTCATCCTTGATGTACTCCACACTAAGCACGTTTAACTTCAGAGTTCTCACAAGAACTCCTCCATTTCACCTCAAAACGCTTCTCGTCAGTTAAGGTCGGATTCTTACTTATAAACCATGGATCTCTCCCGTGCTTTGTCGATGTGGGATTTGCCTAAGGTGTTACATACCCCCCCCCCCCCCCCCCCCCCCCGGGACTCAAGGTCCTCATTGAGGTTTGCCCCACCATCATTCAAGAGGGACCCGGAGAGGCTCTGATACCACTTGTAACATCCCGAATCTTTTCCCGACAAATATATTATCCGTTTTGGGCCCATACTCTCACGCTTTTTGCCTTGGGGTGCAATTCAAGGTGACTTCCCATAAGGTCACCCATCCTTGTTGTACTCCACACTAAGCACGTTTAACTTCGGAGTCTCCATTTAATCCCAAAATGCGTCTCGTCGGTTAAGGTCGGTTTCTTACTTATGAACCATGGCTCTCTCTCGTACTTTGTCGATGTGGGATTTTTCTAAGGTGTTACAACAATCATACAAGAGAGTAAGCACTTCATCAGATAATTCATTCGCCAGGTGGTTAAATCATTGACCCTTAGTCATCCTTACTCCGCCATTGTCAATACATTCAAAATCCAATAAATTTTCCCCAAAGAACATAAAAATGTTGTAATAAGGTGAAATTTAAAGGTACTTTGAAAGCTTAGCCACTTCAAGTCAAACTGACAATCAACAGGCCAAGATACGTCGACTTTTCACGGACCAAAACTGACAATGGCATTCTAGACAAAAATTAAATTTGCATGCTCATTGAAATTTGGACAACCTAAAGGGAAACCGCCATTGAAACTACCTTACTAAATTCGGGACCTCCTACCATGCCTTGAAGTTACTATAACTTGACTTTTTTGACTTGCTATAGCAGGTTTTATAGGTCACATTACGTAAAACTAATGTTTATTATGTAACAATTACGTAATGCTTGTTAGTTTTACGTAACAGTTAAACTAGAAGCGTTACGGAAGGTTTCCGTAACGACTTATCATTTTACGTAACACTAGGTTAATATTCATTATGTAAAAGCATCGTCTATTACGTAAAGCTTCCGTAATGATATTTTACAACTGTTACATAAAATACACGCTCATTACGCAAAGGTTACGTAACGAAGGTTATATCTTCCATAACAGTTAAATTAGAAGTGTTACGTAAGACTTCCGTAATGGCTTACCACATTATGTAACTTGATTAATATTCATTACGTAAAAGGACCATCCATTATGTAAGGCTTCCGTAATGCCACTTTACAACTGTTACGTAAAGTATGCATCTATTACGTAAAGGTTACGTAACGATAGTTATTTTTTACGTAACAGTCAAATTAGAAGCGTTACGTAAGTCTTCCGTAATGATTTAACATATTACGTAACGAAATGTTAATATTCATTACGTAAAATGAGTGTCTATTACGTAAGGTTTCCGTAATGACATTTTTCAACTATTACGTAAGATAAACACCCATTACGTAACCATTACGTAATGCCTATAGTATTTTACGTAATGCGACTTGTGAAACCTGTTATAGCAGGTAAAAAACATCAAGTTACAATAACTTCAAGGTATTGTAGGAATTTCCTACTAAATTCTCTTCCCTAATTCCAGCTTTGCGGCGTTAAAAGAAAGCAAGGAAAGAAATTTGAGCATGAAAAAGAAGTAGACACAAGTTGAAGTAAACTATGCGTGTGTAGTCCTTTGTTATTAGGTTGTTCCTTTAATTGAATGAGTATAGAGGATTTTTATTTGAAAGACTGATAAACTTGTTATAGAAGACAACATGATAGGTGAGGCCTGAAATACAAGAAGACATAGAAGAGATAAAAGTCGACAATATTATCCATTAAGTGCACCAATAGTTTATGGAGCGCATCTCTTGTCTCGTTCCTTACTTCTGCTCATTTTGATCTTCTCATTCTCTTTTGCTCGTTGCCCCTATTTTAATTTTTTCTCACCAGACTTCCAATTTTCTCTATTGGAATCTTTCTATATGTTTCATTTTGATTATTTGGTTCTTTCCAATATCTCAAAATTCTATTTGAACTTTTTCTTATTATTTGGTTGAGCTTACATTTGGACCAACAACAAATAGACGGACTATGTGAATTCATATATAAGTACCCGAAATTCATCACAAAAAAGTATTTACGGGTCGTTTGCTTCATAGATTTGAAAAATGAGGGTTTTGATAAAACCTGGGTTTTGGAAAACCATGGATATATGATGGATTTGGTGGCATTATGGATTTGAACAAGTCTATTGTTTGCTTGATGGATTTGATTATGGACTTTGTTTGATTAGATTTGTGGATATTAAATACAAATTACCTTGTTATCCTTATTTAATTATATTTCTATATTATAATCTAAATATTTCATTTAAAACTAATCTAAAACATAGAAAGAAATTTTAAACTTGTGGATTAATAATTCAACTACAAATATAAGAAATGTATTACAATTTGGCACTAATTAACAATTCGTATAATAATGTATGCATTATTATGTATCAATTGCAACCAATTGCTCGCTTTATTGCTACAACTCATCATCTTCTTGCTAACTCACCGATGTGGAATCCGACAGTCAATCAAATAATAATACACAAGATGAGCATAAAGTGATTCTAGGTGAATCTAAATAAAATACGATATTACAAAACCAAATGATAAATTCACATATTTATAAAATACGAAATTATAAAAGTTTATAGTTGCATGGCCATTGAATTAAAGTAGGACACATTTGTAATTAAAGAAGTAATTAAGGGTAGAAAGGTAATTTACCATCATGGATTTTAATCCATCACCCAAATCCCACCTCAAGAGGTGGAACTTCCAAGTCCGTGGGGTCCACGGATTTGGAATCCCAAAAGAGGTGGGGCCTACAAATTCCATCTTCCTAATTCCCTAACGCAAACGATGGATTTCGGTTCAAGTCCATGATGGATCTATTTCCATGACCAAATCCATCACCAAAACCCTCAAGCAAACGAGCCCTTAAATAAGAACCATCAAAATCAAAGAAACAATGTAAATTATATGTCTCTTATCAATAATCATGTGCTTTGTAGATCTATGCAGGTGTATTATCAGTGTGACTTATACCAACCAATTTTCAAAGAAGAATTGGAATGTGACCTCATGAACGCCATTCGTATTTGCTTTCAAAGCAAATACAGTTCCCAAACTATGCCATGTCGTATCCCCAGTAAAGGGATGAAATCAAAACCCTTCTCAAACTACAAACTACAACCAGATAGTCTAAACCATTAACCGTACTTGGCCTATCACTTGTTGCGCCTATCCCTACTAATAAGAAACTAATATTAGTAATTGAAAAAAGAAATCCCCCAACATCCCCATTCCCTGTAGCCCAAGAGACCTTTTACTGTGCTTAGTGACTCAGAATTACTGTTTCGACTTGGAAGGAACTCGGGTGTGGGCGGGTGCAGGGAGATCACTCATTGGTTTTGGACGGGATTGTCGTGGTTCGGTTGCATTCGGACTGTGGTTACCCTTCTGGTCGGGGTGGGCCTTTCGTTGCCCCTCGCCCGCGTAGATCGCACGGCAACTGTTTTCCTCTCAGCTGCTTTTGAGTGGAAGGAACTCCAGGTTTGACGGAACTGAAAGCCTGGGTATAGTTTGACGTGACAGTAGGGAGAGAGAAGTGGTGGCTTGGAGAGACAGGGGAGACGTAAGGGTTTACGATGGTGATTGGTGACTGATGGTGGGTTAGGACTGATATTTTCAGTCTTTTTCCTTGGTGGATAGAGACCCACGTCTCCCTTTTATTTTTGTCCGTTCATTTAACCTAACTCACTTTGACCCTTCTTTCTTCTTTCCTTTGTCCCTAAATTCGACTGAAAGCCGAGAAACTCCTCTCTCCTCATCTCTGCCATTGTGAGTATAACCTCTCAACCTCCATCTCTCTCTCCTTCTCTCCCAATTTTCTTTCTAGGTTGGTTTCTCTAATCTCTCTTCTTACGAAATCAGCACGCGCGATTAGAATCGATCAGACGGGTTTGGGGGGATCAGAGAGGAACCAGGAAGATCCAGATCCAGATCGACCGGTTTTTTGGGTTTCAGGTGATTGTTCCTCCTTTTCTGGTGAATTTATTTTCCTTGTGTTCTTCAATGGGTTCATTCTCTCTTTCTTTCTCCTAGGGTTTTTGATCTCTCGAGGATGAGAAGGACACGAGCTCCGCGTACGATTTTTTACAACATTCAGCTGCGATACTCCATTTGGTAAGTCGTTCTTTGGATGATGTGGATTTCGCTCGATTCCAGTACTCCTATCCGCAAGATGCTTCTCTTTTTCGTTCTGTAGATCGGAGTTGTCTTATGCTTTATGGTGAAAAGTGGACACATGTCTCGCTTATTTGTCAGTTCTCCCTCTTCCATCCGCACGTTGGAGTGGAACTCCAGGTCGACTATTGGAACTGAGGAGTGCAGAGAGCGGAGTCGGAGAAGGGGAAAATCCGGTAGGTTTTACAGTGGTTTCCACTTTGAGGTGGAACAACGACATCGATTGTTGCCACGAGAATCAGGTAGAGAGACGGGGAGAATCCAAAGCCAAGCAGCTTGAAATTTTGTTGATCTTTTCTCTTCCACCTATTGTTGAGGCATATATGTCCTGTTGCGGTGAACTCGGGATCTCTTTTTTTTTTTTGGTTTGTTCTCTACTATTTGTTGACATTGATTCAATTTTCTTTCCCCTTCCACTTGCAGATCTGCTGCTACAATAAACTAATTGAGGGTCCGCAGACTCATCATCGTGTCTGCCAGGGACATTGACCAAGGTTATTATCTCTCTCTGATGGTTGTTCACCTCTCTCTGTACCCTGTTATGTATACAGTTTTCTCAGTTCTGATTTATGGCTTTTGTTTGATGCTTATGGGGGCGTTCCTGTGTTTCTGGAGTTGACGATCGGCCTGAGCTTCGGAGTGGTTGAGGAGGATAAGTGAACCTGAGACATCTTTAAGTATCTAAGATGTTTTATTACCCTCTTTGATACCTCTCTTTCGTTCTCAATTTAGGCACACCACTTTCTGGAAATAAGCTCTGTTCGCGTTGCATTTTATTTTAACTTGGTTGTTTCCCTCGGTGTATCTCATTCCCTCTGCTTGTCTTATTTTCTATAATTGACTATTTTTGAGGTTGAATGGTTGTGTAGCTTGGCCTTTATCACTTTGCTTCCACTTCGACTCTTCTTATAAACTTCTCGCTCTGTATTTTATCCCCAGATTTAGTGTATGACTATAATCTTGGGCCAGCTTAAGTTGATGTATCGTGTTCATTTGCATGTATTGATTTTTGTTGTTTAATTAAACCACCCCAGGGCTCAGGGCGTCAAAGGATTGTGTGTTCAGTTTGTGGCCTTTCTTATTTGTTAGTTTGCAGAAGTTAATTTCCGACCCTTTTGTTTGAGAAATCTGCACAGCTTGAAGGCACTGGCACCTTTGGAATTTGGATGTGGAGGGTTCAAATGTTGGTTTAGTTGCTTTAATATTAAAAATTGAGTGGTGTTGAGATGGACATTAAATTGGAATCATGTAAACCAATGAACTATTTTGTTCATGCCATATGCCGAGATTTGAACTAAAGATTGTCAAATTCTTAGCAGCCCTTATACATAATGCTATTTTGAATTATCTAATCATAACCATGTTAATCATGGAATAAGAACCTATAATACCATGATTGGACCTATAATGTTAATGTCATTTGTAGCATACAGAAAAAACTTATATTACACACCAGTATAATGTTGGTTTAGTTGCTTTAATATTAAAAATTGAGTAATGTTGAGATAAGCATTAAATTGAAATCATGTAAACCAATGAACTATTTTGTTCATGCCATATGCCGAGATTTGAACTAAAGATTGTCAAATTCTTAGCAGCCTTTATACATAATGCTATTTTGAATTATCTAATCATAACCATGTTAATCATGGAATAAGAACCTATAATACTATGATTGAACCTATAATGTTAATGTCATTCGTACCATACAGAAAAAACTTATATTACACACCAGTCCCGACGCAGAGCGCGGGCAAGAAATACTAGTACTAATAAAAAGGACTCATAGACCTTGTTGTGAGAAATTTTACAATGCTATATAGTATTGGTGCTATAGGGTTTTGCCTTTATGGTACAATTTAAAATTGTACATTTACGTTATGGTACAACTTTAAATTGTACCTATACTTTTTGTACAAATTCTTTTATGGTACAACTTGAACTTGTACCTTTATGTGATGGTACAATTTCAAGTTGTAAAGTTGTACCATAACATAATGGTACAAATTACTTTATGGTACAATCTAAACTTATACATTTAATTGTTATGGTACAACTTTAAGTTGTACATTAAAGCACCAATACTATATAGCATAGTAGAAGAGCTCCCTTGTTGTAGGCATACGGATGTATAGGCGGTGGCGGGTTGTCCGCGTGCTTATGAGCTACCAGTCGATCTGGCAGGTTGGTGCGGTTGGGCTGGAGACGTTGTGCCTTCCCGTCATATATGTTTTTTTTCAAAAACAATTCTAAAACAGATTAACTAAATTAATTTAAATGAGTTTCGCAACTCACAGCACACTGGAAACTGAAAACACAAAACGCAAAAAACAAATAGCGCAAGCAAAACATTCATTGGGTGCGTCTCCCCTCCCCAAGTTAAAATATTAAAAAGGAAGAGAAAAATTACCATAAAAGAGTCTGAAACCCAATAAAACAAATAGACTAAATTCGCGTGCTCTCTCTCCCTATCTTGCGTTGGGATACACAATACAAATATCTCCGGCTCCTCCGAACTGCAATTTGCCAAATTTAAAAATCAAAGTTGAATGCTCACTGAAATTCAAACAACACGAAAAGAAAAATGTCATTGAAACTATCTTATTAGATTCTCTTCCCTAATTCCAACTTTTTGGGTAGTTATCATAAATGGTCACAAACCTATTTAATTTGTACAAAATGGTCACAATTCTTTAATTTTGCACGTTTTGGTCAAACAAGTTTGAGTGAATAACAAAAATGTCAATCCGTCCACTTCCGTCCAAAATTCCGTTACTTTTGCCCAATCAACATGACATGTCATCAAAAATATTAATAAAAAATAATTAAATTGTTTCAATTAACCGAACAACCCTAACCGGTTCACTAAATCTGTACCACCCGGCCGTACAACCCTAACCTTTCCAACGTATCCGCCGGCGTCATAGATCCTCCATGCCGATCGATCCCAGACGAGCACAAATGGAGACGAAACTTGCGGCCTGCTTGAATTCTTTTGGTTGCTCGTTATTGCAGTTTCCAATTGGCTGGACTATTGCTCCATCGGATGGTTCGTAATCTCCAGTGGGTGGCTCGTCTACAGCGGAGGGTTCTTCCTCCTCTGTGTTTCTTCATCTACGGTGTATGGCTCTCCGTCGTCATAGAATAGTTTTCCGTCTCCATAAGATTCAGGGGCTCGGCGGCCGCTCGGTTACATAAAAATCGATGGCGATGAAGACTCCCACCATTGAATCACGGGCGAACTTCTAGAGCGATTGATCGGAATCAAGAAAATAATGGCGGAGAGAGGGATTAGGAATCAGGCTGAGAAGAATGAAAGAAAAAAAACTCAAATGGGAAATACAAAAAGGAAAAAGAGCAATCAAGAAAGTGTAATGGGGAATCACCGAGAAAGACAATTGAATAGGAAATTGGCAGAGAAAGGACAAAAACGAAATCTAGAACGCTAAACAAAGGGAAGGGAAACTGAATCGTCCTCTTGAATGCTGAAAGAAATTAACAATGGAGTTTGCGGAGAGATTGGTCCAAGCAGATGGTTACGGAGACAAATAGTGAACCGGTTAGGGTTGTGGTTAATTGAAACAATTAAATTATTTTTTATAAATATTTTTGATGATATGTCATGCTGATTGGGCAAAATTAACAGAATTTTGGACGGAAGTGGACGGATTGACCTTTTTGTTACTCGCTCAAACTTATTTGACCGAAACGTGCAAAATTAAAGAATTATGACCATTTTGTACAAAGTGAATAAATTTGTGACCATTTATGATAACTACCCAACTTTTTGGCGTTAAAAGAAGCAAGAAAAGAAATTTGAGCATAAAAATACAAGTTGAAGTAAATTATAGTGGCCTCTTCGTTATTATGTTGTTCCTTTAATTGATTGAGTATAAAGGATATTTATATGAAAGACTGATCTATAGAAGACAATATGATGGGTGAGGATTGAAACTACAAGAAGTCATAGAGGAGATAAAAGCCCATTTAAGTGCACTAATAGTTTATGGAGCTCCTCTTGTCTCGTTCCTTACTTCTGCTCATTTTGCTCTTTTCATTCTCTTGCTCGTTGCTTCTTCTTTTTTTCCTGTATCACTCTTTCTCGTTTGGATGGACTTCCAATTTTTTCTATCGGAATCTTGATATATGTTCCATTTTGATTATTTGGTTCTTTCCAATATCTTAAAATTTTATCTGAACTTTTTCTTATTATTTTGTTGAGCGTACATTTGAACCGACAACAAACAAAAAAGCTATGTGAATTCATGCATAAGTGCCAAAATGTCATTCACACTTTTTTTTTCAAATAATAACACCATCAACATCAAAGAAGACAATGTAAATTGTATGTCTCTATTCAATAATCGTGTGCTTCGTAGATCTATGTAAGCGTATTATCGGTGTAACTTATACCAACCAATTTTCAAATAAGAATTGGAATGTGACCCCGTGCACGCCATTCGTACTTGATTTCATGCCAATACAGTTTCCAAGCTCTGCCAAGTCATATCCTCAGTAAAGGAATGAAATCAAAACCTTTTTCAAACGACAAACTACAACTAGATAGTCTAAACCGGGCTAGGATCAGGTGACTAAGAGGGGGGGCCTTAGTCATATGACTAAGTCAATCTCAGCCCTTCCACCTCATTAAAATCTAATGGCTCTAATCAATCCAAATTAATGAAGGGCAATATAGTAATTGTATAATTATTTTTATTTTTAATTTTTAATTTTCCACTGTCCCCTCCCCGTCCCTACCGCCGACTGCTTTTCCGTCTGGAGCCTCCCGTCTCCGTCGTTATTGCCGGCGATCGTCCAGGGGAGCCTCCGCGCCCGCGCAATTATTTTAATTGCCGCCCAGGGGAATTGTCTCCCTCATGGCCCATGCGCCATTATTTTTCCCCTTTTGTCCAGGGGAATTCCGAGAGAGAGAGAGAGAGAGAGAGAGAGAGAGAGAGAGAGAGAGAGAGAGAGAGAGAGAGAGAGAGAGAGAGAGAGAGAGAGAGAGAGAGAGAGAGAGAGAGAGAGAGAGAGAGAGAGAGAGAGAGAGAGAGAGAGAGAGAGAGAGAGAGAGAGAGAGAGAGAGAGAGAGAGAGAGAGAGAGAGAGAGAGAGAGAGAGAGAGAGAGAGAGAGAGAGAGAGAGAGAGAGAGAGAGAGAGAGAGAGAGAGAGAGAGAGAGAGAGAGAGAGAGAGAGAGAGAGAGAGAGAGAGAGAGAGAGAGAGAGAGTTTTTTTGGCCGGAAAATTTTTCCGGCGAACATCGTCGCCGGAGAAGAATTTTCCGGCGACAGTGCTGCTTTTGTGATGTTTGTTGACATATTTTGTAATGTTTGTATGCTTTGTTATTTTGTAATGTTTGTCGGTTTTTTTGTAATGTTTGTAAACTTTGTTATTTTTGTGCACTATGTTTGTAAACTTTGTCATTTTTGTGCACCATGTTCGTAATGTTTTTTATGTCTAAAAAACACCCGGGTTGACTTTGGGAAGGAGCCCCTCTATATAGGGATGGAGCCTCCAAAGTCAACCCGGGTGTTTTTTCCCGTTCGTATAGATTGTCGGTCTAGTTTGTCATTTTTGTCCACCATGTTCGTATTGTTTGTATGTCTAAAAAACACCCGGGTTGACTTTGGGAAGGAGCCCCTCTATATAGGGATGGAGCCTCCAAAGTCAACCCGGGTGTTTTTTCTTTTTGTATGGTTTGTATTGTTTGTCGGTCTAGTTTGTATTGTTTGTACAGTTCATACGTTTGTAATGTTTGTATCTTTTGTCGCTCTAGTTTGTACTGTTCGTATGTTTGTATGGTTTGTATTGTTTGTCAATCTAGTTTACATTGTTTGTACAGTTCATACGTTTGTAATGTTTGTATGTTTTGTCGCTCTAGTTTGTACTGTTCGTATGTTTGTATAGTTTGTACTGATTGTAAATCCGGTTTGTATACTTCGTAATTTTTCATAATACCCAAACTACCCCTGCTATTAATTAAATAGCCCTTCCCACTTTTTAACCATTGGATTGAAGTGTCCAGATCTAATGGCTAGGAGGGACTTAGTCAAGTGACTAAGCACCCCCCCTTAGTCACCAGATCCGCACTCGTCTAAACCACTAACCGTACTTAGCCTATCACTTGTTGCGCCTATCCCAACTAATAGCAACTAATATTAGTGACACTAATGCTAATAACAATGACTCATAGATCTTGTTGTAGGCATATTGAGGTATGGGAAGGTGGTGGGTTGTCAGCGTTAGGGGTGGGAAACGGTGCAAATGATGAACTCATAGTTCATCCGAGAGGACATGAGAGAAAGTGCCCCATGTGAAGCGGCCCATACACCTAT